CAGCCAAAAGGTTCTCGAGTTTCTCATTGACCAACAGGATTGGTTCTTGTTTGACATTCCACCGCCGCCACGACCTGAGCCCTCGTCATCGTGGCGACCACCACTGCGACCACCACACCTTGCACCGCCACCTGCACATGACGCAGAGGATCCGGATCTTGTTGTAGTCCCGAGTTCAGACGAAGAGCCCCATCCGGTAGGCGGAGGGTGGAAGCTTGTGGGCAGAGAGAACCGACGACTCACGCGGCGACGCACGACGCACGAACATCTTGGTGGGTTACCCTCCTCGGCGCCAGCGCGCACTACCCTTGGACGACGCTGAAATTTGCCTCTCCTTTGATCATATTTCCAACTGCATTTCTTTCTTACACTTTTTTTTGTCACTTTTTTCCACCGTTTGTTGTGTTGGTTCGATCTCCTTCGAACTTGGCCGATTTTGCAGATTCGCAGGACCGCTCGGAGCCGCCACAGGAGGGTGGACAGCTCTCCCCTGTTACTGAGCGGCCAGCGTCGAGTGCAGGTAGTCAAGGATCTGGCGCTGTAGGCATGAGCCGGAGTCGGACGTTGCCTTCGCATCGGGGGCTTGCATCCGGAGGTAGTGCCGATGACGAGAGGCAACGGGCGCGGGTGCTGAGAAAGCAGAAGCGGGTGTCGGCACAGGTGCTATCGCCGGTAGGGCTTGTACCAGGAGCGAACCAGAGTGCCTAACACCTAATGGTCGACGAAGTTGGGGAGTGTGCGAAGGTCTGAAAAGAAGACGAAATAATCCCCAAAGACGCGAGTGACGAGATTACCGACGCAGGTTACGACGACATCACATCAAACACGACTACGATATGATATCAGGAATGGGGATGGATGAGCTGACTCAGGCTTACCAGTGGTCGGAATCCATATGCGTCCCACCATGACGAACCATTTCTGTACTGGTTTCTTCTTTCGGATTTTCTCTACTCACTCCCCTTTTATGTTCGTAGTATGGATCTTCTCGGGTTATCATATGTGGACTGGAGTCTGGCACTAGTATACTAGCAACATATATTATGTAGTCTGTACAGATTGTTCTTTCGTCGAACGAGCCACACGAAGCTGGTGTATCATGCCTCACCATGTCGGTGATCACAGGAATATCACGGGTCGCCATGGAATGTCACAAATGCCAACTGTATTCGCGATTCATAGGTAGGGACAAGTAAAAAGAGTGATCCTGACTGGTTTGTGTTGGCACAGTAATAACTACGAGGTCGGAATTACTCCTTCATCTGCAGGGTGGTCGAGTAACGTTACTGTTGCACTGCACTTTGCAAGTCTCCCATTGGCTGAACAAGTCTTTAGCGAATCCAAAGCGAGGCTTGGCGGGCCATGTACCTGTACCATACCCAAAGTGGGTCAATTTTCAGACATTTTCGCAGTTTTGGATTCCTGATGTTGCACTGGCGCACCCCCGGGCTCACGGTCATCTCCCCTTCCGAGTCATCGTATTATAGCTACTTGTCATTTCCCACTTCCATTCATACCGTACTGTTACATGATACCTTTCCACAGGTTCGTTTGTGCGCTCCAGGAATTTTTGTTTCCTAGGATTATCTGGCGTTTGGCGTCTGGAGTCCGAGTCTGGACCCATTGATGAACGAGCTCGGAGGAACAGTTGTCCCTCTCGTGCATATCTATAAACCAACTGCCTCCTTGAATGAATTCTGAAACGACGAGTGGATTGACTCACACTGTGAGCGCACTCTAGCTTCACGTCGTATCGTAGCTCGGGTAAAGGAGGGGCTCTACTACGGCATCAGAGTACGCGAGCCCAGGCAGGACAGCCACGCATCCATCCGCAGCAGAGCACGACCAATCAGCTGATCGACAAGGGCAGAGTAGCGATTTGAACTGGTGACCCAAAATAACAACGGGTATTAGTACCGTGACTAGTAACGTCTCGCCCATCCCTCCCTCCAAATTGTGGCCCCCCGTTTGATATCCTGACAACATTCCCGAATTTCTACTACCGATGTCTGCCACGGCGACGCAAGAACGAATGCGAACCTATGACCAAGAGCCTGTGAGCACAGTCTTTTCCTCGTACTCTTTAAAGTTCTATTTAGCACGTCAGAGGTGTATATATTTGTAATTTGTTGGTGTTCCACAATCTCTTTTCTTTCTCTACTACCTTGAAATCCACCTTCCTGACAACCAATACTCTGACCGCCGCGCAGCCCACCCAAAGCCAGCCTGGCACCCACACTCCTTCGTATTTCCCTTCACCCAACCAAGCACAACAACCTCTCATGCCGTCTGCAAATTCGTATAACAACCTGGAAGCTCCTCGCAACAGCGACTGGCTCGAGAAAACCCAAAGGTCTAATAGACGATCAAAGTTTATCGTCAGCATCTCCCAATATTTCTAGATTTTGATCAACTTCACAACCGAATATGACAGGTCATTGGTGCAGTCTTGACCTTGGCAGTTCTCGTCGCAGTTGGTGTCTCACTCGGTGTTGTGCTCTCAAAAAAGAACAGCAACAACGCTAGCAGTGGCAGCGGCTCCGCTTCCCCAACGTCCACCGGTACACCCCCAGGCACGAACCCTAACGACCCCACCAATTTCCAGAAGAACCCTGCATTGAAACAGTCTTTCTATGGTATTGCTTACACTCCCCTTGGTTCGCAACTACCCGACTGTGGGAACTCACTTAGTAGGTCAACTCTCACCAACACCTGATACATACTGAACACACAATAGCGGAGGTTATCGAGGACATCCAGGTAAGTTATTGTTGCATATCTTCTGACACGTTACTTACATTACTTTTTCAAGCTACTGTCTCAACTCACGACTACCATCCGTCTCTATGGCGCAGACTGCAACCAGTCTTCCCTCGTTTTGGCAGCCATCGAAGCTACCCAAGTTAATATGGGTGTCTATCTCGGAAATTACCCTGCGGTCGACGACAACGGAACTGCCTATGAACGTCAGAAAGGCGAAATTATGACTGCACTCCAGACATACGGTGCTAGCCACGTTCTTGGAGTGACTGTCGGAAATGAATTCATCCTGGAGTAAGTGTATTGGAGTGTTCGCATGTACTGCATCCCTTATCATGCCAAATAGCTATATCACGGAGCAAGGTCAAACTGATCCCAACGGCTCTGCTGGACAGCAAGGCAGGTCCCTCCAACATACCTATCGAATATGTTCTAACGTTGCATTATTAGCTGCTGCGATGCTCATCCCATGGATTCAAGACACCCGAAGCATGTTATCCTCTTTGAACCTCGGCAAGACTCTCCTAGTCGGCAATGCCGACGCCGGAAGCTACTTCAACACCCAAGTGCTCGAAGCGGTAGATTATGGAATGGCAAACGTGCACCCATGGTTTGCCAACCAGAGCATCACGGATGCCGCTGCATGGACAGCGGAGTTCTTCCAGACCACCAATGCCGACTTCGCGGCCACTCTTCCCAACAACCCTAAGATGTTCATTGCCGAAACCGGCTGGCCAACGGTATGCGAATCCTTACCTGCCATGGTCCTGTAGTGACCATTACTCTGTCAGAACACGTCGCAATTTAACTACAGTCCCGACGATGGCGTGTCATTGGCCTCCGTTCCTAATCTACAGGTGTGTCTCTCTCGAATCGTCACAGTACAGTACTAAGCCACCTCAAGGTTTTTATCGATACGTTCGTTTGCCAAGGCAAGTGTTGTACTCCCGAGGATATCTATATCTTGGATCCATACTCACATTGCCTCGTGGCATCACACAGCTAACCAGAATGGGACGGGCTACTTCTTCTTTGAGGTATGTTTCTGGTTGTAATCTCCGTTGCACGACGTGTTGCTGACAGTGAGGCGCTCACATAGTACTGTGACGAGCCGTGGAAGGTACGTACCCATATCACGGGGAACCCAAAGGAGTGAAAATTGACCTGCTTGCGTGTTTTAGGCTACGACTTACGGTGGTGTCGAGGTGAGGAGCACTGTTGTCACTTTTCGATTCGAACTCACGGCAACAATTTGCATCGCGTTGACAGGGCTACTGGGGCTTATTTGACTCAAAGTAAGTCTCACCAGCTGACCACCACACGATGTCTATGATTGATTAATGATGCGTAGCAAAAACTTCAAGAACCTCACCATTCCCACTTGCTCCGTATGAGGAAGCTTTTTCCAGAGCTCTCAATCTTGTACCCTCTCACTTGTCCTCCTGTCTCACAGTTTGAACTCACCCGTATATTCCACGGTTTTCATGGATACTAAACCTCCTTACCCATTCTATTTGATACGATCTTTGTCCTGGCGATTCTGCTGTGCCACCCTTAACTGATTATGTGGTACATGCAACCAGACTTAGACTTCCAGTCCTTGCTTTGTGTACACCCCATACACCATCGATTCAAGCCATATGCTTGATCGAATGCAATGTGCTCCTGGATTTTGTAGAACATTTCTTTCAACGGACTAACATTGTTATGCAGTCGACCTCCTTTAGCTAGATATAATGGATATCATATTATTCCAGGATGTCACTTATAGCCCGATCCTCTGCTTTTCGCTATTGGGCGATTTGACTGGGTACGTACATGCAGCTGAACAGTAAAGCAATGTATTTGGATTGGAAAAGACTTGAACCCCGAGAGGCCATGACATACTGGCATTCAGCGAGACAACCAAGCTGGGCTCCAATGTCTGACTGGCCAGCTGCCATGGACGGGGGAAAATATAAGGAAGTACTGCAGGGAGTCGAACCGGAGCTAGGCCATGGAAGATCCAATGTTACGGCTACACCCCTTATGCGTGTCATCCTCGAGGAGTGAGGAGTACCAGCCTCCGAGTGCATGAGTGTGTACGACTGCTAATATATAACAGTGTGAGAGAGATGTTTAGCGAGAGTAAATGGGCATGTAGAGTCTGGAGAGAGCACGAGGGGGTCGGTGCCATTTGCTGGACGACACTGAAGCCGTCTGAGTACTTCTGAGCTCGTGGTCACATGGGCAAAAAGAATTGCATCAGCCGGGAGTCGAACCCGGAGCTAGGCCATGGGAAGACCCAATGTTACCGCTACACCACTGATGCTTGTGAAGTCGCAGTGATATGTAATAGAAGTGATGTGAAATACATATGGCAGAAGTCGTTGATCGTAGTCATTTCGTGTCCACTGTCTACTAGTAGAAGAGTCGAGGCTATTCGTACCTTTCTTTAGAGCAACGAACTCGCGGAGGATTATTAGTTGATGAATTTTGCATGGGGGTAGGATTGGAGGATCTGAGGTGGAGAGGATCTTGTGGGTGAACTTGTGTGGAGTGCGATGGTTGGTATTCTTGCCTTGCTCAAGGATCTTCTCAGGCTTGGATAGTCAGACGAGATGGCCAGAGGTGGATATCACTGACGATGAATCATAGCTTACTTGGTCAGTTCCACCCAGTCCAATTCACAACTGAGCCGAGTTTACCAGTGCGACGAAATCACTCGTCTGACTGGCTTAGAATCTGTTTTCACAATATGGATAGTTTCTCGGGATAGACGTGTATTGTGCTAGCTGCAGAGCGGCATGTGTGAATATGGATCGTAGCTCTGCTCACAGGAATGGGCGATGACATTGCACGAAGATGGTCGTGTGATCTTGAGAGCCAACGTTGTGCATAATCTTAGGCAAGTTCCCCCTCGCTCCGCTCCTTCTCGACCTCCCAAATCTCTCCCACACCTTCTCTGAACCACACTACATTCCACTCCACGAGGCCCCTCCTTATCTCATAAACTGTGGTCGGCAATAATGCTAGCAGCGCCAAATGAGGCGTCACGAGGTGGTAGGTAAGCGTTGTCCCTGGATGTGAAGGAGACAGCGATGTCGATGCAGAAGGATAAAAGAGAGGCTTGGCACTCGCTGATGGTGGTGGGTCGAGATTGGAGCTGAGATAGTCAAGGGATTCAGCTGGAGTGGGAGGGGTATTTGGATGCGGTGGAGCTCCGGGCACAGATGAGAAAACGCCTGATCGTGGGTCGGGGCTCGCATTAGATCTGAATTTGCGTCTTTCGTCAGCTGAGAAAACCATGCATGAGGTACAATCCTCACTTGTACAATGGACCGAACGAATTGAGCATTTGCAAGTAATCACAGCAGAGGTTGTGTGTCGCTTGATCGACAGGTGACGCATCAGTAGCTACGTAGAGTTTGCTTGTGGTGTCGAATAAAAAGGCCTTTGGTGATGATGTATTCTGAAGAGTGGTTGAGAAAACCACGCGAAAAGTGACAGTTTCGTTAACTTGAACTCACGGAGCAGAAAACATTGAGTAGGTCTTCAAGGTAAGGTAAGGAGTCAATGAGCTTGTGGACGACACGCGAAAATGCCTCTTGAAGTGAGTGATCGTAGACAGACGTTAGGTGGAAATTAAGAGGAACTTGTTCGTATTCAGGTGATTCGTCCGCAAGTCGGTCCATGACGCGTTCGTGAATCTGCCGGAAGTTCTCTGCGTCGGAGTCACCTAACTGACTCTCGGTTTATGAAGAGTCATACCAATCTTGTCATCCTCTTGGAGTTTCTCTGCTTTGTGCACGAAGACTTCAAGGTTGATGTTCCGATTGACTTGACATGCCGCCACGATAAATTCGACAAGCTTGGCGACTGGTTGTTGATAAAGGTCCTGCGGCAAGGATTAGCTTGTTCCACGGATGTGGTAACACGCGCACCCGTATGTCAATAACAAAGACAATACTGGAGAAGTCGGAGAGAGGTGCCTCTAGTGTGTCGACTGTGATATTCCCAGGACAGTCCCATATCTCAAGAGGGATTACAGTGCTGATTACGTGACAATGATCAGAATAAATAGCGGGCGTGGTGGGCTGGGATTTGCTCACTCAAAGGCGTGTTTCGTGACGCGCATGGTAGGTTCTAAGTAGAATGTCTGTTTTGGTGGTAGGTTCTTGAACAAAACCTGCAAAATGGAGGTTTTGCCGCTTCTGTTGCGTTATATTAGTGATTCAGGTTGAGGGGAAGGATTGAGGAATATACCTTCTCGTTCCCAAGAGAATAACCTTTGTCCTGTGTACTGCGACATCTTGCTTTGGTTTCACGACGTTGGAGTAGGACTGTTGCTGGTGTTGAGGAGGACCCATGTCATGTCCACCCTGCACTTCATCAAGTGGCTTGAATCGCGTACCCAGCCACGGAGTTGGAATCGCCGCTGTTTCCAAATCCAGGAATACTGCGGTCCTAAGGTGGCCGAGCGCATCTCCAAAAGGGACTTTTTCGGAGGTTCGGACTCACACACGTTGGTCGAAGGAACGTTTGTTTTCAGTGTTTGGTGTTCACCTTGTTCACCTCCTCGAGTGACTACACACGCCGTCCGTGTTCGTCTGCTCTGGCACTGATAATCTCGAACGGGGGTTGCCCTTCATTATTTCTTCCCCGTCTCTCTACTTGTTTACTTTGACGCGACTATAAATCCGCAACCATGAAATTTGGGAGGAAAATATCGGTACGCGTGCTTTACCGTCGTTTCTTCACATTCGTCGCGGGAATTAATCTTATCATGCAGACGAGCCTTTACACCGAGTGGAGACCGTTTTATCTTGACTACAACATTTTAAAACGGGAACTCAAGGTGAGAGTTAATAAACCCACCACCAACCTCCCAATTACAACGTCCCCGTCCAGAGTCGGACGACCTCCCACGACTGGAATGTTAACGACGAGCGCGAGTTCACTGCTATGCTCAAGAGGGAGCTAGACAAGATTCACAACTTTCAGAAGCAGAAGGTCCTTACTGTTCCACGAACTGCCCTCATCTCACTTATCTCGTCTGGGTAGACCTCGGAACTCTCAAGCCGTATACGGGACGCTGAACGCGATGTCAAGCGCTTGGTTGCTCAAGAGTCCTCTCAACGATCATCTGAGCCGTCTCCGATCAGGTCTACTGATCCCGAATCTCATCATGCACACCCTTCTGATTATGGTCCGGACGAAGGCTCCGATGACGAGGAAGATTTGGAAGTAACCGAGGATTCTTACGACGACCTTGAAGATCTCTTTCACGGATTGGAGGAAGAAGTCGCAACTCTTGTCGCAGATGTACATGACCTCGCCCTTTACACAAAACTCAATATTACCGGTTTTCTTAAAATCCTCAAGGTCCGTGACATTGTTCTTGGGTTTGGTTCTTCTCATTCTGACGAGCCCTTAGAAACACGATGTTGGTTGTACTCCGTGACCTTGACGCCTTTAGATTGACCATACTTCCAGAAACAAACGAATCTCCCCTTAAAGCCCACATTCATCCAAGACTACTTGGAAGAGCGACCTTTCTATAAATATAACTGGGATGCCCTCATCGTGAAGCTTTCAAAGTTATATGACCTTGTCCGCACACGTGGTCACCCTGTTGTGGGCGACTCCAGCGCTGGCGGCAACCAGAGCGCCTTCGTCCGACAGACGACGAAGTATTGGGTAATATCTATCATATCTCGACTACGAATCAACTCACAAGTATAAGGTACACCCGGACAACCTTGTTCCTCTCAAATTGGCCATTATGAGACACCTTCCCGTGCTCGGTTTGTTCCGTTTTCCCCGTCGGTGGTCTCGTGGAGCTGATTTCATGCTTGTAGTATTCAACGCTGAGAAAGAGTTTGAACCCAAGGATGCAGGTACTTCACCGCTTCCTCTTCATACCAACATGGTCTTGACAGGCTTGTACAGCGATAACATCCATATACTTTGACAATGAAGATCTGGAGTTGTATCTCGGTCGGCTGGAGAAGACAGAGGGCGCGGAAGCAATTCGTCTGCGATGGTATGGCGATACCGACGTCAAGACCGTAAGACCAGGCCACACGTAATGATGCAGCCAATTCTAACTCGAGCAAACAGATTTTTGTAGAACGCAAGACACATAGAGAGGATTGGACTGGTGAAAAATCTGTCAAGGCCCGTTTTGCCATCAAGGAGCAGCTGGTGAACGCGTTCTTGCGAGGAGAATACACTATGGATGCTGAGTTGCAGGCCCTGGCCAAGAGTGGAAAGAAAGGTCAGGCTGAAGTGGATTCGATGATACAGCTTGCAAGTGAGGTGCAATACCGCATTTTGACCCGCAAACTTGTCCCAGGTCAGACGCTTGTCAAGAACGCACTTGTTCCATTTGCTGATCAGAGACTCATAGTTATGCGGACCTTTTATAACCGAACAGCGTTCCAGTTGCCTGGTGATGCTCGCGTGCGGATCTCTCTAGATACCGAGCTTACTATGGTTAGAGAAGATAACTGGGATGGTCGTATGCGTGCCTGTGATAATTGGCGTCGCACTGACATTGGGATTGATTATCCCTTTGACCAGTTACCCAGCGAGGACAAGGAATTATTCAAGTATGGCGTGCTTGAAGTCAAACTCCAAACACAATTTGGTCAAGAACCACCCAAGTGGGTGACAGACCTCGTCCAGTCACACCTAGTTGAGGCCGTTCCAAAGTTCAGGTCAGTCGATGAGCGACTTGACTCATCTCTCGTAGCTCAATTCCGTGCAGTAAATTTATTCATGGATGTGCTACCTTGCTGCCTAATCGGGCCGACCTCGTTCCATTCTGGCTTCCGCAAAGTAAGTCATACATGTTCACACAAGATAGATGTCTGATTTGGGTTGTCATTTGTAGTGGACATCGATATCCTTAAACCAAGCACTGGTTACCTGACCGTAGAACGCCCCCTCCATTCATCTTCAAGGGGCACTCCGGAGCGCCAATCCTCGGGTGAGGTGACCCCCTCACGCCCGTATGCTGAGCCAGTTTCCGAGGGAGAAGAAGATGAAGTCATGGATCTAACGCCAGCAAGGGATGAAGACAGACGCACAGGGCTTCCTCAAGCCGATGTTGCAGCAGCCATCGCATATCGAGAAAAATCTCTCAAGGGACGTGATGACGGTGAATGGGACGCACGAGGGTCTCCCTCGCGAGCGCAACTACATGGGACTACGAATGGTGACACGGAAGGGGAAGAAGTTGACGAACGTTCGCTGCACTTGCAGGCAAGGCGAAAATCCGAGAGTGTTTCCCAGACTCACCAGAAGTCCTTGTTTATCGATCCCCTT